ACACGTTATGTAAATATCGACTATTATATAATTAATTTAATCAAATGAATAATTTATAGGTTTATTAAATTATATTCAATTGTATTCATATAAATACTTGTAATATATCTATAATTAACAAAAAAATATGCGTTTTTAAGTTGTATAAAATAAAATACATTTTTCAAGTAATTGAATTTATTTATTTAAAACATTTCAATTTAATTATACAGTTTTTAAAATATAATTTAAAATCTATAATCACTACTAATAAATTTAACAAATTAAAGTAATATTTTAAATATCATAACTAAGGATTTTAAGTAATGGTAAAAACATCATATTTATTAGGATTATAATAAAGGGGACAAATAACTACATTATGGTCATATTTGTCCAAATGATTGCACGATAAACAAAATCCATTTGTTAGATCAGACGTCTGGTCTGGTTTTGCCTGATTTTCATAATCAATACCAGTATTAATGATGGATTCATAAGCCGGTGGACTATCAGGTATTCGCTCCGTTGATATGTTATAATAATAGTCATTAATTAATTCATTCAAATCTAATTCAGTAAAAGCGGTCTCAATATTAGTGCAAATAACTGAATGTTTGTTTGAATCTAATTCAAACTCGATTCTTTTGTGAGCGCTTTTTGATTTGAATATTATTATAAATATAAGCAAAATCGTCGACAATATTAGTAGAATTATAATCAAATTAAATGAAAAGACTTTATCATCGGTTGAATTTGAAATAGAATTTGTTTTACTAATAACTAACACTAAAATTATAGACAGAATCGCAAACAAAACTATTATAGGAATCGTTAATATAAGAAACTTATGGTAAAAAGTTTTCGGATTTGACTGCGAGTTGTCAGACATGTTATAGTTTTGTGAAACTTTCAATTCTCGACCCTTTCTTTATATATGTGTAGAGAATATTCTGCGAAACAAATTGCAATCACAAGACATTGAAAGATATATTAATAAAATGCTAATCACATGTCAGACTCATTCATAACTATTTCACGTGATATGCATTCAAAACTTTATGTACAGAAAATGCCAATCAAAGAATGGCTGAGCTATTCCGGGCAATGTTATAGCTATGGAAACTATTATTAATGTAATTACTTAATTATATGAAACAATTTGAGTGCATTTCTCAATACATACACATAAATATAGACATATGTATATTTTATTGTCAATATTCCTGTCATATGCTGTGAGAATTTTGTCAATACTAGTGAACAATGAATATACTTAACGGTCTTTAAGTACGGGTAGGAATTCTGAGAGAGTTCTGCAATACATTAATAATATAACATTTATTGGTTAATTATAATTAATAATAAATTTTATATATTTAAATACTTTATTATATAAAATGCTTTTATGTGCGAATTTCTTATTAACTCACAAAGATATAAACAAAGCTCTTAAATGTAACATAACTTATATGGCAATCAGTAGATCTTAAGATTAACAATTACCAGTAGGGAAGTATTACAGTATCCACAATTACATTAAAATTATATTGTATTTAAATAAATTTGCTCATGTATTTAAATATTATCAAATTAACATTAAATTATGTGCTCAAAAGTGCAAAATATTTAAAGATTTAAAGGTTATAGTCTATAACTTATAGCAATTAATTAAAAATCATTATAAAGTACACCAGTTAAAATGAGCTAAAAGTATTTTAATTGTTGTAATAATTTTTTAAAATGCGAGACTTGTGTTGGTTAATCACTTCGTTAATCTTATTATTTTCAAAACACAATTTCAATTTTAATTATAAAACAAGTATTAATGTTTTGACAATTCATAAATTATAATTTATTAGTTTAAAACAATACTTTATTACAATTGTGTTCGCGATTATTCAATAATTTTTAAAAACACTAAATTATTAGATTTTTTTACAAAATATAATTAACAGTTGATTAAACATTATTTTTGACATCAAAAACAAAATCTATAATTAAAATCAAATGTCAAACCGGAATATAATTCGTGTTAATTCAATGGCCAAAGAAGTCTCAATGACTTTAAATCGTTGGAAACAATTGGACAAAGAGTTGCAAATGAATGACGGATCCACTGATTTGCAGAGATATTATAAGGAAGGCTTAGAAACGCAACGAAACACTTGTTTGCGACGATTGGAGTGGACTTTAAATGATTTGTTTGATTGCATTGAAGTGCTTCACAATCAGACACTCACTGATGACGACCACCAACTCATTCAAAGTCATTATTTCATGGCATTAGATGTCAAACAGTTTTTGCAAAACACAAACCAAAACCCTATGAATGAAATTGATTTAAATTCAGAGTTGGAGTCAAATTCAATGGCAACTAATCAGACATTATCTCAAGTAATAGATAATAATTTGCATGAATTGGACATTCAATCGGAAAATGTAAAGAAAATATTTAATGTATTCAAAAATGTATCGATTTATGTATTGAAAAGTTTGGGATTTTCTGATTTAGTATTGCTTTCAATTTTAAACGATTCAATTAAATAAATTTAATTAAAACAAAAGATTTTATTGTAAAATATTAAATGAATAACAATTTATAGTTTTCAATGAATGCATGAAAAAAGAGATGCGGTCACTAATCGGCTGTAATAATAAAATCATAAGTTTATAAATTATTATCAAATTAAACATTGAATTCAAATTCAAATTACTTTTAACTAAAATCCATATGAGATAACCGAAGACCAAAAGTGTAATAAATAACATAAGTATTGCGACAATCATTAGACAGATAATGAGTATCCGACTGCTGGACTCCTCGATCTCGTATTCATTACATTTGAATAACTCTTTGGGATTTAAATACTTTGACTAAAAAACAAATAATTTTAATTTCTTTATCAAAGATTATAATTTGTAATCAACAGAACCTTAACAAACAAATTGTTTGCATCGCTTGAATTGATATTAAGTTCATAAATGACAGCCGAGTTCTTCGGCTCTCCTTTATTGATAACCAAAGCCAAGACTTTGCGATCTAATGACCAATAGAAGAGTGATGTAAACTCTTTGTCGGCGAAACCAATGATCTCCCGTCGATCCCACGTTATATTTTGACTGATTTGAAGTGCAGTTCGTGTCCACAAAACGTGATTTTCATTTGGTTTAGCGTTCATTACATAAACAAAAGTCTTGATCGATGTCCAGAAAGCGCAGACACCCGACCCGTCCAGGAATGGGTTCGGCCAGAGATAGTCGGGAGATATCCCTTGCAAATAAGACAATGTATTGATACCTTCGCCAACAAGTTCACTTTTAAAATATCGGATCCAATTGTGGCCATCGTATAAGTCATAGAAGGTTACGGAACCCATTTCCAAGATTTCCAATGATTCCTCAGGTACATAACTCATGGCCGTACACTCAGCTTTATTAGTGATCCACTCGTGATCATCACATCCCTGGACGTAAAGGCTTGCAATGAATCGCTTTTTAAACAAAACTACATAATGAGAAGAAAATATCATTAAATTAAACGTTTTTGTCAAATGATATGAACTGACGGGTTGTGTCAAAGATTTGGTATTTTCCGGTATATCTGTCGTGAAATAATCGCTTCTGAGTGTAAGTCTCCCCACTTTTGGCCTCTTTTATGACGGTTCGACTCGTTATGTAATACCCATAAGAAGTGAATGAAGCGATTGTTTCAAATTTGTTTTCTTTGCAAATCATTCCCAATTCACTTATACTTCCATAAGTATTGACCGCTAATAACATTACAATTATAACAAAAATTGGATTCATGTCTTAGAAACTGATAGTTTTGAACACAAATTCTTTAACTAATTGTAAATTTCAGATTTATTACAAAATCTGTTGTGAAATAATATTTAAATTTAACAATATATAACAGTTAAATTACCAGCATATTCATACTATATTACTCTAACTACAATTGTTATAATTACATTGCAATTAAAGCGCGTGTAAATACGAATACATTTTGAAATAATAGCACAATTTATGAAAATTATTTGTTTTTAATTTGTCACCAAAAATGTCTTTGATCGCTGTTTTATCAGTCGTTGCGCTCGTATTTGTTGGCCATAATTGTCAGTTCAATAGTTCGACGGCGAGTACTGTCGGGTCCGCTCAACAGACCCACAATCACTCGACTGATGGTCTCTTTGGTAATGACACTAATTCAACGGTTCCTCCGACGCAACCCATCAATGAGATCATCACTAACTTGAGTGATAATCCTAAGGACGGTTCAAATGAAGGGACGAGTGATGAGAAAAAGGGTTTGTTTAACATCTCATTGTATTAAATGTTTGGTTAAAAAATGAATAATCATTTTGTTTGACTCAATCAATCAGATCCACTTTTATTGCTTATCTTAATTTTGATCGCATGTCTACTACTGATTGTGATAACAATTATTTGGATCGTAATTATCTTCAAATGTACGGCAAAACCAAAGAAGTCGGATAAGAATGACAAGAATGATAAGATGGAGGGCTCGGAGAAAGTGACCAAACGGTCGATCACTCACGAAGCCATAACTGAAGGCCCGTTAGACCCACGATATGGTAAACTGGACTCAGAATTGAACCTATCGTTAAGAATAGCGAATCCATCGGTTCCTAATCTAGAGAAACAAATGGATAATAAACCACATTCTTCAGTATGAATTGTGGTCACAAATTAAACACTCAATTACTTTAAGCACTCTCTCATATTAGAATTAAATTGTAACAAAATCTAAATTATAATAAATAAAACCACATTTTGCACACTTTTTGGTTTTATTTAATAAAGTGATATTAATTGACAATTTATTAAGTAAAATACAAATATATTTTAAACATTTTTAATTGTAAATCAATTGCAATCGTAAATCAATTATTCGTCAAAATATAATGCCTTCTATTGTAGAAGAATTAGTTTTTCAATACATTAATAGATTTATAAAAATTATGTGTTTTTCATAAACTCTTTATTTATATTAAATATTAATTCTCTTTATTCGCCGATTCACTCAATTTGCCGATCATTTTAAGGATAGTTCGCCAATATTTGCATAGTTTTGACGATAGTTTGGACCTTTCTATACGAATAATACGGCCTAAACATCAAATACATTATTAGTAATTAATTATAAACTATTATAAACTAAATTAGCGATAATAGTGTATAGCAGTCATACCGTCGCTGAACATATCGGTGGAGTTGAGCTGACCCTTGGCTTTAACGGCATCGGTGCCGGCGCTCATCCATACCTCAGCGGTTCCCGTTTGAATAAAGTCCTCCGTTGTGTGGATCACTATTTTGCCCACATTTCCAAATATGCAAAATATTTCTTTAATCATATCAATGGTAACATTGGGTCCGATGTTTGAGAGGAGAAGTCTTCCCTCTTCGTTGTCCGGACGGACACCCATTTTTTGGCGTCTCATCGGAGCCATCCTATAGGCCGTCGGTCGTCGGTTTGTCCGCACTCTCCTCGCCCTTCGAGTCGGCATTTTCTTGTGATTTTCCAATTGATTTCTAATTACTTTTTGAGTACAAAATTACACGCTTTGTTGGTTTGAAATGTAATATTAATTTTTAATATTTTCTTTAAACCTTTACCAATAAAGCCTATACTTCTAATGCTCTCATAGAAATGTTTCAGTTTGATTTTTAATTATATTTCAAACTATGTGATAACATCCATATTTCTATTAATAATTCACACATAAACCTCTAAAACCTAAAGTGTTTTTAAAATTTGTTATAGACATGAATGGCTTTGATTGGAAACTAAATAAAACTTTCAGCAATTTTATAAAAAAGCACTTTAAACTGCTATTTTTGAAATAGCATTTGAATGTATCAAATGAAATAGCACCAAATTACCAAATATTATTTTGGTATAGCATAGAATATTGCTGTTCAATGAAGTCTCTATTAGAGACTTGGAGTAGAAAAGCCAATTGTCATAAACAACATTAAAATTATGTTTCAAAGTTTGGATTAAAAATTATTAATCATTCAAATAAATAAATATATTATACACAGAGGGTATAAAATTTATTAAATGCAACTTTTGTAACGGTGTATATGAATAGG